TTTTCTTCGAGCTGGAGAAAGTCTGTGACAAAGTGGATGTTTAGTGTTCTCCACGGTCTATGTGGGACAGAGAGTCCGATTACTCTGTTTTATCCAACAGTTTGAGCAATAGGTTCTTCATGGTGAGCGATACTTTGTGCTCCTTGTGTTTCTAGGTGGTGTTCCCGCCCAGCAGTGTGGCATACATCACTGGTGTCATACTTCACTCAGAGTAGTTGCGTGAACTGCAGCAGCTTCGCAACATTGCGTGAATTCACGAATCTCTTTCTCGTTATGAATTTCAACTCAAGAAGAACGTAAGTTGCACTTCATGTTCACCAAGAGGATTTATATTGCAATTTCTGCTGCCTGCAGTGATTTCAGTTTCGTGTTACGCACTAAAGAGCGTTAAAAATCAATTGCTGATTTCACAACCGACTCCAGTGTCCTCGGCTTGAGCAGCCAAGCTTAAAATGAAATTTGCAAACTGGATTGATGGTGTCTGACAGTGTAATGATTCATTTGTCAGCGAGGTGTCTGGTGATGGTGTGAAGGTTGTCATGGTGGTGTGAAGATGATGATGGTGTGAAGGTAGTTATGGTGTGGGTTATGGTGGTGTGAAAGTGGAAAATGGTGATGAAGATGATGAATGTTTTAGTTGATGTTAGTAGTGGATAGTGGTGGTAATAAAGATGTAATAATACATAAGACTGAATGACAACACTGGGTAATGAGTGAGTGAGAATGAGGAAGAGTAAAACTGAGGAATACCGATGACAATAAATTTAAAATAATGAGAGTAAATGAAGAGATAGGTAGAAAAATAAGAAAATGAGAAAGAGGAAACAAAGAGTGAGGTAGAGAGAACAAAGATTGAGGGAGAAAAAAAATAGTTAGGGAGAAGACTGTGTGAAGGCTGGATGAGGAATAGCAAATGGAAAGTCAGGGAAAGAACAAGGGGTAAAATAAAGGGAGAGGGAGCGGAAATATGGAGTAATAGGTGATAGAAGGAAAGCAAAGGAAGAGTGGAGAGGCTTTCTGGGTTCAAGTGGTAAGTGATACAGATCAATTAAAACCAAAGGCAATTCTTGGCCGCACACACACACACACACACACACACACACACACACACACACACACACACACACACACACAGGATGTTCCAGAGATGGGACACAGCAACAAGGGGACACAGTTGGAAGTTGAAGACACAGATGAATCATATGGATTTTAGGAAGTATTTCTTCAGCCTCAGAGTAGTCAGGAAGTGGAATAGTTTGGGAAGCGATGTAGTGGAGGCAGGATCCATACATAGCTTTAAGCAGAGGTATGATAAAGCTCATGGTTCAGGGAGAGTGACCTAGTAGCGACCAGTGAAGAGGCGGGGCAAGGAGCTTGGACTCGATCCCTGCAACCTCAACTAGGTGAGTACAACTAGGTGAGTACAACTAGGTGAGTACAACTAAGTGAGTACACACTGAGAGACTAAAGGAGTTAACTCTGATGACGGGGGATGGAAGGACTGGGGCTTCCATGAATATAACATACAAAATACAGGGGACTGAAAGGGACAAGAACAGACTGCCACAGGGATGTTACAAAATGCTTCCTTATCCTTATTCAACAAGTGGAACGATCTAGACAGTGGAGTGGTAGAGGCAGGATCCATACATATATATAACTTTAAGAGGAGGTACAACAGGGCTCTCGGAGCTAGTAAATAGTGAGCCTAGCTTTTACCTCCTGATTAATCGACTATTAGGTTGTGGTTGTAGTGGGGAAGAGAGAGAGAGAGAGTGAGAGAGAGAGAGAGAGAGAGAGAGAGAGAGAGAGAGAGAGAGAGAGAGAGAGAGAGAGAGAGAGAGAGAGAGAGAGAGAGAGAGAGAGAGAGAGGGAGAGTGTGTATTGCAATATGTATTTACTCTCGCTAATTAAATGTTTCACAGAATGGTAATATTTGAATCCTTTGTTTTACTTGAAATATACAGCCTTTCACGACGTGTTTTATGTATTACTGAAACATATAGCTTACCACCATACATACATACATATATATATATATATATATATATATATATATATATATATATATATATATATATATATATATATATATATATATATATCTCACATGACACTCTAACCCACAGAACCAAGCAGTTGCGCGGTGCGTGGTCCTGTGGGTTAGAGCGTCATGTGATTTTTCGCTCACCATGAGGCGGGCCAAAACGACACGGGTTCGAATCCTCGGCTAGTCGCAGTGTTGTTATTGATTCAATACCACTCGTTCGTGGTTACAATAATATTAGTGTGAACTGCTATAATTATATTAAAGTGTTTCATTCACGAGCTTTAATTAAGATTTAAAATGGATTTAAATTATTTTTTATGCAGTAGTGGTATAGTATCAGTAATAGTATAATTAGTAGTAATTGTAATAGTATCAGTAGTACCAGTGGTTAGTAACCGTAGTGGTGGTGGTAGTAGAAGCGAAAGTGGTAGTAGACATAGTATTTTTAATAGTAATAGCAGTAGCAGCAATTGTAATTTACATTTCTGAAATTAAAGTATTTTCTATATTTTTCGGTGTAAATTCCCATGTTTTGCAGCTATTTTTTTTTTCACCAAGTATATGTCCACACATACTCGATGTATGTATGTATTATTTCTCTCTCTCTCTCTCTCTCTCTCTCTCTCTTTCTCACTCTGCCTCGCTTTTGTTTACTTTCTCACTCCTATAACAGCACCCACCATCACCTAAACTCAGGTCTTTCCCTGCCCAGAGTCACTCCCACTTCTTATCCTGCTCACACAGCTTCCAGCTTCCCCAAGCTCCTACCGCCACCCACAGCACCTCTCACACCACATCATACACTACCACACCGCCGCCCACACCATCGTTCGCACCCCAGCCTCATGCAGTCAATAGACGCACCTAAAGCCATTCTCTTCTCCCACAACAATCCTACTGTGAAGTACCTAATCTGCAGGTTAATCGGATGCCAGCGTGTGTGAGACTGGTAAGACGGAGCTCTTCATACCATGTTTCGTGTGAGCCGCTGTACTACGTTACAAGTCTCTGATACAGTAATTTTGTTACAACAGACTCTGTTACAGCAACCATAATATTACAACAGTCTCTCACACTAACTCGGCTGTGTTACAGCAGTCTGTTACAGTAACCATGTTGTTACAGCAGTCTCTGTGGCAGTAACTCTGCTGTTATGTAACAATAGTCTTTTACAATAACTCTGTTGTTATGTTACAGTAATCTCTGTTACAATAAATTCGCTGTTATGTTCCAACAGTCTGTTATAGCTCTATTATCTTGCAACGGTTTCTGTTACAGTAGCTCTGTTACAACAATTTCTGTTACAGTAACTATGCTGTTATGTTACAAAATTTCTGTTAAACTGTAAGCCTTTGGTACAGCAGTTTTCAAGACGCTGTAAATATGTTGTTACAACAGTAACAACATATTTACAGGGCTATAACATTATAACGCTATAACATTTCTATTACGTTATAGCTGTGGTATTTAGTCTTACAGCTGGTGTTATCTTACATCAGTCACTCCTATTCTCCTAATACTAATAATGATAAAAATAATGATAAAAATAACGCTAATAATAATAATAATAATGCAAAATAAATACGAACATTATAAAATATTTCATGAGCCGAAAGAGAATGTTCCATCTTGCAGCTGACGCCCCTGACAGTCTGGGTAATTACTGAAAAAAATAATTAAGTGTAAATTGTTCCGCAAATACTGACCCGAAGACTAGAGGGGAGAGGAAGGAACGAAGAAGGAAAGAAGGAGGTAGGGTGTAAGACAGTTATATTAATTGCTGTTATTATTACTATATTAATATAATAATTATTATTATTATATTCGAATGAAAGTGCTAGAACCGTAGGGGTCTTCGTAAGAAGAAATAATGAAGTCTGGGAAGGGTATCTTCAATTCACTGAATCGAAAGGCTTTCACCAGCACTAACATCTAAAAAAAGAAAGCTAAAATTAGTGAGATGGAGAAGTTAATTCTGTAGATTTTGCAGCTATCATAAGTGATGATAAAAGTGGGGAGGAGGGAAGGATGGACCCAGCATGTAATTATATGGGGGTAGTCCAGGCCATAGGCTACCATCACCCGTGGTCCCAAAACTACACCATACAGTTCATCAGTAAGGGCACCGCTCTCATTCACACTTCAGAGCACAAAATTTCGGCTTCAGTTTTTTTATTCGCCTCTGTGTCTGGTGTTCGCTGACTTTCTGTAGAGTCATGTGAGGTGGATTGCCTACAACCTTGAAGACTCGTCTTGCAGAGTTACCTTTATTGGAACAACGTTTAGTTCTTTGTATTGCCTGCAACTTTGTATTGCGTTGCAACTGCAAAAACTTCTTAAAGAGCAATGAAATGAAGGGAATGGAATGTGGAAAGTCAGTGTAGACAAAGCAGTCGTGTTTATAAACACAATCCTGCCAGGAAAGCAAAGTTGAGTCTTGAGTACACCTGTTTGGGTTAGAATGAATCTTCATATTACATTCCCTTCCATGCATTGCTCCTGAAGAAGCGTCTGTAATTGATACGCGAAAGACCTAGAGTAACATCATTTTCCTTCCCCCCTTCGTGGATGTTGTGTATCGTTGATTGCTCGATAATCCCTCTCATTTGCTTTTTCCCATTTATTTTAATTTATCTCCATTTCTCTCTTATATGTTTATCTATTTTCTTTCCCAGTCTATCATTCTAATTTCACGTCTCTTATATCTTTAAATTCCATTCACTGTATTCCCTGTCTCATTTCCTTCTCTTTCAGGTATCTACTATTCCACCTTCCTTCTCTGATCTACTCTCCCCTTTCATTCTGCCCCTTGGGCCTCTCGTCTTTTCTTTCTTATCACCCCTCTCCCTTGTTCATATCTTCTCCCCCTCTCCTACTTGCCGTCTCCCCTTTCTCCTCTCACTTCTCTCATATCCCGTCTCTCCTCTCCAATCTCCCATCTCCAGCTTACCCTCTGGCCTCGCATCTGCCCTCCGTACCACCAGCCAGGCGACACGGGTACTCGTACATTCATCTGGGTCAATTAACAAGTGACCTGAGGGCAACACAGGTCAAGGCACCATGGTAGGGAGACGGGGACTGATAAGCAGGGAGTGTGAGATATAGAATGAGTTCTGTGTGTGTACTCACCTAATTGTACTCACCTAATTGTGGTTACAAGGGTTGAGACTCAGCTCCTGGCCCCGCCTCTTCACTGAGTGCTACTAGGTCCTCACTCTCCCTGCTCCACGAGCTTTATCATACCTCATCTTAAAGTTATGTATGGTTCCTGCCTCCACTACCTCACCTGCTGGGCTATTCCACTTCCTGACTGCTTTATGACTGAAGAAATACTTCCTAACATGTGTGTGTGTGTGTGTGTGTGTGTGTGTGTGTGTGTGTGTGTGTGTGTGTGTGTGTGTGTGTGTGTGTGTGTGTGCGTGTGTGTGTATGTGTGTGCGTGCGTGCGTGCAAGCTCATGCATGCATGAGTGACAGCTAGGAATATATGACAAAAACATGCATGTCAGCCATTTTGCATGTTATTGTCCCATACCTTAGTGGCAGGAATACACAAAATGTTTGACAAATGAAAAATGGATCAAACTATGAAAAAATATCAATAAAAAATGTAATTTACAGACCCATACACACTATATATATATATATATATATATATATATATATATATATATATATATATATATATATATATATATATATATATATATATATATATATATGTATATAGATGGGGTTGTAAGAATGTGAATGTCTTGGCAAGAGGTGTGGAGTTAAAAGCTAAAGAATAAAACCCAAAGTGGGATTTGTCACAGTTGCTTTTTGCTGATGACACTGTGCTCTTGGGAGATTCTGAAGAGAAGTTGCAGAGGCTGGTGGATGAATTTGGTAGGGTATGTAAAAGAAGTTAATTAAAAGTGAATATAGGAAAGATTAAGGTTATGAGGATAACAAAAAGATTAGGTGACGAAAGATTGGATATCAGATTGGAGGGAAAGAGTATGGAGGAGGTGAATGTATTCAGATATTTGGGAGTGAATGTGTCAACGGATGGGTCTATGAAAGATGAGGTGAATCATAGAATTAATGAGGGGAAAAGGGTGAGCGGTGCACTTAGGAGTCTGAGGAGACAAAGAACTTTTTCCTTGGAAGCAAAGAGGGGAATGAATGAGAGTATAGTTTTACCAATGCTCTTATATGGGTGTGAAGCATGGGTGATGAATGTTGCAGCGAGGAGAAGGCTGGAGGCAGTGGAGATGTCATGTCTGAGGGCAATGTGTGGTGTGAATATAATGCAGAGAATTCGTAGTTTGGAAGTTAGGAGGAGGTGCGGGATTGCCAAAACTGCTGTTCAGAGGACTGAGGAAGGGTTGTTGAGGTGGAAAGGAACGAAACAGAGTGTATAAATCTGTAGTGAAGGGAAGGCGGGGTAGGGGTCGGCCTAGGAAAGGTTGGAGGAGGGAGTAAAGGAGGTTTTGTGTGCGAGAGACTTGGACTTACAGCAAGCATGCGTGAGCGTATTTAATAAGAGTGAATGGAGACAAATGGTTTTTATACTTGACGTTCTGTTGGTGTGTGAACAAAGTAACATTTATGAATGGATTCAGGGAAACCGGCAGGCCGGACTCGAGTCCTGGAGATGGGAAGTACAGTGCCTGCATTCTGAAGGAGGGGTGTTAATGTTGCAGTTTAAAAACTGTAGTGTAAAGCACCCTTCTGGCAAGACAGTGATGGAGTGAATGATGGTGAAAGTTTTTCTTTTTCGGGCCACCCTGCCTTGGTGGGAATCGTCCGATGTGTTAATAATATATATATAATATATATATATATATATATATATATATATATATATATATATATATATATATATATATATGTGTGTGTGTGTGTGTGTGTGTGTGTTTGTGTGTGTGTGTGTGTGTGTGTGTACTCACCTAGTTGTACTCACCTAGTTGAGGTTGCAGGGGTCGAGTCCAAGCTCCTGGCCCCGCCTCTTCACTGGTCGCTACTAGGTCACTCTCCCTGAACCATGAGCTTTATCGTACCTCTGCTTAAAGCTATGTATGGATCCTGCCTCCACTACATCGCTTCCCAAACTATTCCACTTCCTGACTACTCTGTTGCTGAAGAAATACTTCCTAACATCCCTTTGATTCATCTGTGTCTTCAGCTTCCAACTGTGTCCCCGTGTTGCTGTGTCCAGTCTCTGGAACATCCTGTCTTTGTCCACCTTGTCAATTCCTCTCAGTATTTTGTAAGTCGTTATCATGTCCCCCCTATCTCTCCTGTCCTCCAGTGTCGTCAGGTTGATTTCCCTTAACCTTTCCTCATAGGACATATCTCTTAACTCTGGGACCAGTCTTGTTGCAAACCTTTGCACTTTCTCTAGTTTCTTTACATGCTTGGCTAGGTGTGGGTTCCAAACTGGTGCCGCATACTCCAATATGGGCCTAACGTACACGGTGTACAGGGTACCTGAACGATTCCTTATTAAGATGTCGGAATGCTGTTCTGAGGTTTGCCAGGCGCCCACATGCTTCATCAGTTATTTGGTTGATGTGCGCTTCAGGAGATGTGCCTGGGGTTATACTCACCCCAAGATCTTTTTCCTTGAGTGATGTTTGTAGTCTCTGGCCCCCTAGACTGTACTCCGTCTGCGGTCTTCTTTGCCCTTCTCCAATCCTCATGACTTTGCACTTGGTGGGATTGAACTCCAGGAGCCAGTTGCTGGACCAGGTCTGCAGCCTATCCAGATCCCTTTGTAGTTCTGCCTGGTCTTCGATCGACTGAACTCTTCTCATCAACTTCACGTCATCTGCAAACAGGGACACCTCGGAGTTTATTCCTTCCGTCATGTCGTTCACAAATACCAGAAACAGCACTGGTCCTAGGACTGACCCCTGTGGGACCCCGCTGGTCACAGGTGCCCACTCTGACACCTCGCCACGTATGTGTGTGTGTGTGTGTGTGTGTGTGTGTGTGTGTGTGTGTGTGTGTGTGTGTGTGTGTGCACTCACCTAATTGAGGTTGCAGGGGTCGAGTCCAAGCTCCTGGCCCCGCCTCTTCACTGGTCGCTACTAGGTCACTCTCCCTGAACCGTGAGCTTTATCATACCTCTGCTTAAAGCTATGTATGAATCCTGCCTCTACTACATCGCTTCCCAAACTATTCCACTTCCTGACTACTCTGTGGCTGAAGAAATACTTACTGACATCCCTGTGATTCATCTGTGTCTTCAACTTCCAACTGTGTCCCCTTGTTGCTGTGTCCCATCTCTGGAACATCCTGTCTCTGTCCACCTTGGCAATTCCTCTCAGTATTTTGTATGTCGTTATCATGTTATCATGTGTGTGTGTGTGTGTGCGTGTGTACGTGTGTGTGTGTGTGTGTGTACTCACCTAATTCACCTAATTGTGGTTGCAGGGGTCGAGACTCAGCTCCTGGCCCCGCCTCTTCACTGATTGCTACTAGGTCCTGTGTGTGTGTGTGTGTGTGTGTGTGTGTGTGTGTGTGTGTGTGTGTGTGTGTGTGTGTACTCACCTATTTGTACTCACCTATTTGTGGTTGCAGGGGTCGAGTCCTAGCTCCTGGCCCCGCCTCTTCACCGGTTGCTACTAGACCCTCTCTCTCCCCGCTCCATGAGCTTTATCAAACCTCGTCTTAAAACTGTGTATGGTTCCTGCCTCCACTACGTCATTTTCTAGGCTATTCCACTGTGTGTGTGTGTGTGTGTGTGTGTGTGTGTATGTGTGTGTGTGTATGTGTGTGTGTGTGTGTGTGTGTGTGTGTGTGTATGTGTGTGTGGTGTGTGTGTGGTGTGTGTGTGTGTGTGTGGTGTGTGTGTGTGTGTGTGTGTGTATGTGTGTGTGTGTGTGTGTGTGTGTGTGTACTTCCAATTGTGTGTGTGTGTGTGTGTGTGTGTGTGTGTGTGTGTGTGTGTGTGTGTGTGTGTGTGTGTGTGTGTGTGTGTGTGTGTGTGTGGATTTTTTCCAGAGTGGGAATCCCACGAGAGATTTTAACGAATTAAAGTGCTAAATTGATATCAGGCCTCATCGAGAGATATCTCATTCCAAGTGACTGAACATAAACCATTGTTCATTAGTCCTTACCATCCTAGCTGCTATGGTAAACATGAGTGTCTTACCATCCTAAAGCCTAGTTTAAAAAAAACAAAAACCTTCAGATTAGCCTAGATATTTGTCATGTGCATTGTCAGCCATGCCAAGGGCAATTAGTGGCTAAATTATTTTCCGTTTGAATCGTTATCGTACAGACGGCATGCTGGAGGTCCTCTATTAAACTTTAGTCTGGGTTCCATTCTAATTCTAAGGAAGAAACTGCTTTCAAGTTTATTCTGGAGACTGCAGAGTTGGTATTCGTGAATTCTGTTGTGTTAATTGACACATTTAAATCCTATTTTGATTTGAAAAGTTTCAAAATTAAATTTGACTGTAGACGAAGTTCTAATATTGCTTCCTTATACTGCTAACCAATATTCCACTCTCAAGAAATTTTCACTCTACCAGCTGATATTTTTACCCTCTCAAAGTCAGACATGAGACTAGATTCTCAGTCTATATTTATATCTAAATTTTATTTTCATGCTTTTCTAATAACTGTTAATAAATATGTGTCTGTTAGGCATGTTTTTATTCCCATCAATTTGTATGAATTATTCACTAATTCCTGGACATTCATGCAGGACCTGGTCTCGGGCTGGGCAGCGGGGGCGTTGACCCCCGGAACACCCTCTAGGTGGACTCTAAGTAGGACTTAGTTAAATAATCTAAGAACGATTATCGCTCGTGAAGGCGTATACAAAATACTTTCTGGGGAAGGTGGAAGAAAGGCGCAAAAAATAAACAACTAGTCTGCCAAAGTTCTCTGGGCAAGTTTGTTTACATTTTATAATTATAATAATATTAATAGGTAGGGGTAACAAAACCTTTTTATTTTTGGTTAGGTTATGCTTTGGAGATCAGAGAAGGTTGCTAGAGCATATTTATAACTGTAA